TCAATCCCAATCTTATGGGGGCGTAAAGGAAGAAAATCATTGACTCAATCAATTATAATATTCGGTTGTATCATATCTATATAATTGCTTATAATCTGTAACAAATTTATTCCTTTTCCTTTGTAATCCCTTCGATGTAGCACCAATCTCTTGTATATATTATTACTCTACATCACAAATCAATACAAGAAGAGCATTATTCCTTTCATTAGGGTTCTTCTATTTGATCGCTTAGGGTTTCTTATCTGTCTCTTTTTCCGATTGTTGAATCGATATGGGTTTCATTACATCCAAAGCTAATCATAGTTTGGGATTTTGGATGATAGTGCAGAAGAAACAAAAGCCATAGTTCCGCTGCTCTTTCTTTAGTCAAGGAATTGAATCTGTGGTTCTTCATCATCTCCTAGATGTTTATGTCTTCGACTTCCTCACGTAGAAATAGTCTCAAAGACTCTGTTTTTAAACTAAATGCGTAACGAGTGGGCTCTGCCTCCGACAAGATCAGACAGAACACAACGTCTGCAAGAAGTCTTAACCACCACCGAAGTGCCAACGGCCGAAAAAGGTCTGGACATCACGCTATGGAGACACGATTCTGACACATACCGAGAGAGCTTCAGCACGAAGCAAACCTGGAAGCAGCTGAGAAAATCATCATCGGTAGTTCCGTGGGCAAAGACACTACGGTTCAAGCACACAATACCTAGGCATGCTTTTGTGCAGTGGTAAACGTTCCTGGACAGACTTCCGACAAAGAATAGATTGCATCGATGGGGAATTCAACCAATGACCCAGTGCCCGCTATGCACCATGGGCGGGAAGATGCACCAACACCTCTTCTTCGAATGCCTCTATAGCTTGGGACTATGGAAGCACTTTGCGGCCATGATTTGGCCTGAACCCCCTCTACAACTATCCCTTATACCCCGGTGGCTCGAAGGCGTGGGTCGCGAAAGACAACGACCAATGATTGTGAAAATCACACTCCAAACCGTGACTTACCTAGTTTGGCAAGAGCGGAATAACCGCATATTCAGATCCCAGGCCATGGACATCACAGTTACCCGACTCAAGCTTGATCGACTAGTGCGAAACATCATCCTTCCCAGCCCCAATGGAACGAAGCCGAGAGAGAATCTCCTGCTCCAAGCATGGGTTCACTTAACAAGAACCATCATGATAACCTCAAGTATGAAAAATGTTTTTTGAAAATGCTCTTGTGTAGTATTCATCTGCCATGAAAATTTTCTCCATTTTTGTTATGATGTATTAAAACCGCCGTGTAAGTTACTTTCTGATTTTTTGATTTAATAGATGCACATTTTAACAAAAAAAGAAAAGTTTAAACTTTTATTTGGGATGACCCTTGTTGTATAGTTGAATAAACACTGCCGGTTTCCGATAAATTCAGTCTTTCCCATCGCCTAATGGCTGAAAACAGTACAGAGATTGAGGCCACTCTACATAATAAAGTCAAAGCTCTGAATATATTTGTCTAATCCTTCACTTCACTTCTTTAAGTTCGCAAGTGACAACAATGGCTTCCTTCCTTCTCCCAAGCTTCAGAACATTCCGACAGCAACTGTTAGTGTCACTCTCCTTCACATTCGGATCCAGAATCCAATTCTCACAGAATTCTCAATTCATTAATCCACTGTATTCAAACATTAAATGTGGTTTCAAGGATTCAAAAGAGAGAGAAAAATAACAATACATAATTACATCTAAGTTGATTTCCAAATATAAATTGAAATGATATGGTTGAATAACTCAGATTCGAACGAATATAAATATTTAGTTGATTGATTTTTATAATAACTTCCAGAATTAAATATTATTTTTAAAGAATTTCTATAGTTGATTATTTTTTTGTTAATAATTATTTATTATAATGAATTTTAAGTATAAATTCTAGAGAAAATTTGCACCAGTATCCAAAAACGTCACGTCATTAGAAATCTATAGCTTTTCTTTCCTTCCTTTGCAAACTATACCTTTTAATAATTTTTTGACAAAAATACCCTTACTTTATTGTATAATTTCAATGTTGCCATTAAACATTTCAAAAAAATTACAACATAAAAAATATATATTTTATTCAGAAACTGTGTTATTTCGGAAAACTGTTTTTTCATCCGGAATAATTATTTTCATATATGAGAATCTGTTTTTATTTGGTTTAACTGTTTTTGTATACGAAAAAATAATTTTTTTTTATCAAGAAGAACTGTTTCTCGTCCGAAAAAATTATTTTTTCATTCGGGAAAGACTTTTTTTATCCGAAAGACATGTTTTTTATCCGAAAAAAATCTATTTTCGTCCGCGAGAATAACTTTTTTTTAGAGAATTGTTTTCATCGGGAAAAAATGTTTTTTATATGAAAAACAATTTTTTTTTATACGTGAGAACTATTTTTCATTCGAACAAAAAACGTACACTCCCGAACGAAAAACAACTCCCTCGAAAAAAACAGTTCGTCCGGACAAAAAAACAAACTTTTCCGAACGAAAACAGATTTTTCCGGACAAAAAACAATCCTCCCGGACAAAAAACAGTTCTCCCGGACAAAAAAAAAATTCTCCCGGATAAAAACAAACTCTCCCGAACAAAAACAGTTATCCTGGACAAAAACAATTCTTCCGGACAAAAAAACAGACTCTCCCGGACGAAAAACAGTTTTCCAGGATAAAAACAGACTCTCCCGGACGAAAAACAGTTCTACCGGACAAAAAATAGACTCTTCCGGATGAAAAACAGTTCTCTTGGATAAAAAACAGTTCTCCCGAATAAAAACAATCTCTCTCGGATAAAAAACAGCTCTCTTGGATTACACAGTTTCCAAAAAAATCTGCTTTTTATATTACACATTTTTTCGGGACGCTAAATGTCAATATTGAAATTATATAATAAAGTAAGGATACTTTTATCAAAAATTTATAAAAATGTATAGTTTACAAAGGTCATAACTAATTTATAAAAAGGTATAGTTTATAAAGTTTATAACTATAGTTTACAAATAAGATAATTATTATTTTTTTTGTTCTCGTTATATTTCTCAGAAAATATAAATCACACTAAAGAAAATCCCTGAACCACAGAAGCATATAGTAAAAGATATTACTCAAAATCTACGACAGATGATTCTCCTCCACGTATCGAATGAACTTCCCAAGTGCAGCATGCGAAGATCCGAAGATCCACCGTCCCTAAGCGCCACGTGGCACTTATCGCTAACCTCCTTTACCTTCTTCCTCACGTCACTATGCTGCGCCATCAAACACCTGATCCCTCTCGCGATCTCCTCCGCCGTCATGACCTCCGTCTCCGCCGCCATGAAATCTCCCCGGAAGCTCATCCTGATCTCCACCGCCAAACGTAGTTCTTCCACCATCTCGAACGCGTTGAACTGTTGCTCCGCGTAGAGCGGCCACGTCGCGGTCGGGACGCCGAACCAGAGGCTCTCGAGTATCGAGTTCCATCCGCAGTGCGACACAAAACCTCCGATCGCCGGATTCGCTAGCACCGCCGTCTGTGGGGCCCATCCGATGATCTTCCCGATCTCCGCTGTCCGATCCAGGAATCCCTCCGGCAGAATCTCGTCGAGGTTCGTGAATCCCCCGGTAGGTTCCATCGTACCCTTCGGCGGCGCGCGGCGGAGTGACCAGATGAATCGGTAGCCGCTTTGCTCGAGCGCGACGGCTATTTCTCTGGCTTGATCCTCATCGAAGCCTCCCATGCTCCCGAAGCAGAGGAACACCACAGATCTGGGCGGTTGCGAATCGAGCCACCGTAGGATCTCCATTTTCTTCTTGTCGCCGGAATCTTGGCCGTCGTATTTTAGGTCTAAGATTGGTCCCACCGCGAACGCCGGAGGAGTCTCGCCGCCGGCGAGGAACTTCAACGCATGGGGCTCGAGCTCTTCAAACGTATTTACCAAAATACCCTTTGTTTCTCGGAATCTTCTGATTTGTCCCAAGACAAGCGGGAGATAGCGTTCGCTTAACATCACTGAAGGGAAACACTTCGCCGGGAAAGAGCGAGTTAGACTCGGCACGTCCAACTCGGTATCCGAGTCTCTGAACTCGTGGACGTCGTATTTGCTCTCGTTGTAGAGACGCTGAACGTGGAAGCTCAGCCCGAGAAACCCAGCGTTCGAGGTATAGAAGATGTAACTCGGGACGCCGATCTCGTTCGCGACGTCGATCATCGCCGTACAGAACATGTCCACTACAAGGCCAGCGAGCCGAGGCACCGAATCGGGCCGAGTTGGATCAGCGAATTTGGCCAACGCAGCTTTCACCTTTTGCTTCTGGTTCTCGATGAAGGTGAACACATTATATACGGGGTCGGAGATCGGCTGGTCTTCGACGGAGATGACGTCATGCCGGATACGGTCACCATACGGGGCGGAGATGTAGGAAGAAGAAGTGTTGTCGCCGTAGGATGAAGGGATGATGACGACGGTGACTGAGAGACGGTGGTCGCGGTCAACGAGGAGCTTCGCCAGCTCCACCGCTGACCGGAGATGTCCGGCTCCTGAAAAAGGTACGAAGGCAAGCTCCATTTTCTTCATGTCTTCCATCTTTTTTTGGTTCGAGTTTATGGACACTGTGGATTTGTACGAAGTGATAGGGTTCGTCGTATGTTTTTTTTGGGTCGACTGTTCCGTGACACCTCATAAGTCACGTGGCGAAATATAGTATCACCATGCATTAAGCTTTGACTCAACAAGACCTTTGATTTTCAACTTTCAACTTTTTTTTTTTACAACTACAGTCCACATCAAAGAATTTTCGATACCCCTAAAAGTATAGAATTATTTGCAGTATTTGCTGCTTTTCAGTGGAGGATTCGGCATTTTTCTATAGGAAATTCAGCTTGTAGAGATGGTATTTTTGCTATATTTAGATTTGATTATTTTGGTTTAAAACAATTATAATTATTGCGTTTTTATATTAAACTCGATCCTATTTCGATTTTATCTATTTTCAGATTTTTTAATTATTTTTATTCGATTAGTACCCGTTTTAAAAAATATTTAATCATTCAATTTTTATATAAAATTCGGTTGATTAGGATAATGTTATTTGATTCGGTTATTTGGTGAGGCACCATGTCGTCAACCTTCTTCGTTGGGCTTTTATCATGATTCGTAAACTTACTGGGCTTTCGGGCGCAGCCCAGTAGGCCCATATAATGAGTTCAGGTCCTCTGTCCTCATTCTGTCCGCTCGCCGTCGATCTTCATCTTCGACGGGTCACCGCTCGCACATTTTTTTTTGTTTGTTAGTTTGGTCGTAACTTTTTTTTCTCTCTCTTCGCAAGTTTTCTTCGGAAATCCAGATACTTGTTCGTCTCTGTGGTCGGCAACTGGTGGGCAAATCAGGTACGATGATGATATCGGTTCGAGTAGTTAAGATTCAGATGTTAGGGTTCTTCTATTTGATCGCTTAGGGTCTCTTCTCTGTCTCTTTTTCCGATTGGAGAATCGATATGCTTTTCATTATATCCGAAGCTAATCAGAGTTTGGGATTTTGGATTGATAGTGCAGAAGGAACAAAAGCCATAGTTCCGCTGCTCTTTCTTTAGTCAAGGAGTTGAATCTGTGGTTCTTCATCATCTCCTAGATGTTTATGTCTTCGACTTCCTCACGTAGAAATACTCTCAAAGACTCTGTTTTTAAACTAAATGCTTAATTTGGGAATACAGGATTGAGGTTTCTCCTTCGTATGTGTTGCTGTGCTGATTCACTGCATTGCCTCTCTTAAGCTCGTATGGCGAATCTGAGATGAAGAGTGTGGAGAAAACTTGTTTCAAGAAGCTAGTTTCTCCATTATGCGTGGCTCAAATATCGACCTGAGAATACTCGGGACAATGATTCGAAAGAGGATCGAGGAACAAAGGAAGGACCACCCAATTCTCCACATGATTCCCGTTGCGAAAAAGGTCCTTGAAGCTAGAAGAGTTCTTATCCAAGGCGTCTCTTTGCTTCTTAAAGTTTTCCCCGTCTTGGCGTGCAAGTAAGTGAAATGTTCTTTCATGGATTTAGCTGCGGAATTCTTGTTTCTATGTGTGATGTGTGCTGCAAAATCGAACTGAATTGTGTAAGAGCATGACTTACAGATCATGCCCTGAAGTGTTTATCGGCAATGAGGGTCATCTGATTCAATCATGCCGTGGCTACTCGGGCTGTGGCGACAACCAGCTTCACGAATGGGGTCCAGGATCCATAAACGATATACTGGTCCCGGTGGAAGCCTATCATCTTCAAAAAATGTCTCGAGGTATTACCAAACACCATCAGAGGTTTGATCATGATCGTGTTCCTGCCGTTCTGGAACTATGTTGTCGAGCATGCGCCATCCAACACGAAGAAATCCTCGAACTTTCCAAAACTTCTGAGAAGAACCCGTATGTTTTCAATGAAGATCACCGTACTTTATCCGGGGAAAATCTCAGATACGTCGCTGAGGGAACTGTAATGGCATGGGAGACTGTAAGAGCTTGTGTGAAGAAACTATTGTGGGCATATCCCTCGAAAGTGTGCAGGCACTGCTCGGAGGTTCACATCGGACATAATGTTGGCGGTAAAGCTCGGCTATGCTGTGGATTGCAAGGAGGAATACACGTATGGGAAAATGCCCATGTGAACGATTTGGTACCCGAAAAACTTGTGTGGCACCGAAGACCTCAGGACCCGTCGGTTCTTCTGAACGAGTGTCGGGAATATTACGGCCATGCCCCTGCCGTCGTCAGCCTTTGCAGGCATGCCGGAGCCGTGGTTCCATCCAAATATTTGATCAGGATGAAGCCTAAAGGTTTATCTCATCCCTGTCACTAGAGAGTACAGAACGTGATACATTACCCATTGGAGCTGAATGTATGTAATGTATGGATGGATGGATGGACCGAATCCTAATGTTTCTCTAACAAAAAACCAAAGGGGAGCCCACATGTTTTAAAACTGAAACCCTAAAATTTTCTTCAGTATGGTGTTATATATGTCGTTGTGCCCACCAATCTGTTACACTTTCGTCCGTACAATTCTCACCAAATGGGCTTGCTTAAGAGGCCCAAAATGATTTATCTTAAGATTTTATCATATAGATGAGTTATATAATTCGTTTCTAATTATCTTATCACTAATAAATAACTGTAGTTACGTTTTGGTAAATTGTTTATGTAAACTATACCTACTTCCAGATGACAGAGAGAAGGTTCATAGTTACCTCATTTGTTGAAACCGTATCAGATCGATTTGATTGGTATTATATAAAAAATATCCTCTCTTTTCTGTTTTGATTTCAAATAATATATTTTTCCAAACTGTGATCCTCTGATCCATATGAAATAAAAGGGTAAAACCCCTAAAAAATCTCCAACTTGCAAAAATATATACAAATAAACCTTCAACTTGAAAAACTGTCATTCAATCCCCGAACTTATAACTTGTCACTTAATAAAACATCGAACTTGCAAATTATGTTGCTCTAATAAATCTTTGACCGCTTTGACCACAATTTCAAACGATCCAAAATCCACGTATTGACGGATTGCTGATGTCAATTTTTAAATTAAAATTGATAACGTGTATAAGGTGACATCAGCAATCCGTTAATACGTGGATTTCCGATCGTTTGAAATTGTGGTCAAACCGGTCAAAGATTTATTAGAACAATAATTTACAAGTTCGAGGTTTCATTCAGTGACAAGTTACAAGTTCGGGGATTGAATGATAGTATTTCAAGTTGAAGGTTTATTTGTATATATTTTTGCAAGTTGGAGGTTTTTTAGGGTTTTTACCGAAATAAAAATATAGTCTAATCATACGTTGATCTCATTAGTTATAAGGTTAAATTTACGATGGTCATACTGGTTCATATATTCATCTCTTACTTATCTTATTAATTATTTGATAAAACTATTATAGATTACTATGACTAATAAAACCAAATATTAATAGATTATATTTCTGACCATATGGATCATTAGAGTATTAGAGTGATGTTGAAATTAAAATAGGAAAGGTTGAGTATGGGTCGATTTGATTTTGTTATGAACGTTATAATAATTTATTAAAAAACGAAATTTATTTGGTTGGAATTATTATTGCGTGGGCATCTCGGGTTACTAAAAAAAAAGCCTTTTGCCTCTGGAGCCACATCGTTCTAATCTTAAGGGCCAAAGCCCATCCCTTTGGCACACCTTCCAATGTCCCCCATCTATATATAATATTAGTTTTATTTCTATAAAAACAAAATATATTTTTTTTAGACTCATCTTTTATTTTATTTTATTTTTCTCTCGTAAACTAAAATATTATCTGCTCAATCAACGTGACGCAATTCGGACAGAGTTTTTTGTCCACGTTCCGGTTGCATGCTGATCTAATCTTGGTGACGGTCCTAACGTCCATTTTTTGTTAATTGCTAATTGCAATGGTTAGATGCAAGGTTTTTTTTTTATTAACCCAATATTTTGTAACAAGATCCACATTAATCTTGAGATTGGGGTCAACAAAATGATTTAAAATATATTTTTTTCCGAAGTTCGAATTCGAGACGTAACAACCGTTTTACTCGTTTTACCGATTGAATTATCCAAATTTGGATGATTAGATATAAATTTTGGTTTGTATCTGAATATTTTATATCTGAAAAAGCTTTAGACTATATTTAATTTGTTGATTTTATTTGTATATGGATATCAAATAAATACATCATAAGGTTTTGGAAATACGAATTATATGAATTTATTCATGTTGTTTTTACATTTAGATAAAAAAAAAATAGTTCGGAATGATGTTATCGGTGTAATTTTTTCATATATTCCTTCTGTATATAATATGTTAACCGGTCCAAATATTACAAATCAATTGATGCATAGATTTTGGCAAATTTCTATAAAAAGAAAATCAGAAAACTGATAGCAACAAAATTGAAGATAGGATTGCCATCTCGGATTATAATATATGACTCCATTCAATGGCAAGATAGGGTTTATCTATTTTCCTCGGGAAACAAAAACTATATATATATATATACACACATCTTAATTTATCTAATTGTTGTAAATTAAATCGGCTGGTTACTGGTTTATTATTCCACATTAAACTACCGAAATCAAAAGGAATTAAATTTCTCAATGAAAAATCTACAAACACTTGTGAAAAACTAAATGTAATGTCGACTAAACTCCAGATATCGAATCGAGCATATGTTTCGTATTTATAGATGCATAAATAGATGAAATATACATTAATTAGTTAAAAAATATACATTAATTGAATTAAATTAACTTTGTTGTCTTGTTTCTGAAGAATCACGTTGCCACTTTCAGATTTACGACACGACATTGTTTTTGCCAATTTACTATCCACGTGTCATTTTGGCAGGTCACCACGTCGGATTAGAATTACTGACGTTCATATTTCGCTCTTAATTTTTTTGTCGGCGAAATTCGAAGTAATTTATGACATCAAATGTTTCTTTGTCAAATGTGATTATGCCTATAAAGTTTAGGATGAATTTTTAAGAATTATAAAATAAAATCTAGAATTGGAAAAATATGACTAAATGAAACATAAGTTTTTTTATTTTATTTTAAGTGCCTAAATTCATTTAAAATTGTGACTACTGTTCGATGAAGGAATTCGCAGATAGGTTGATATCTTAGTTGGATACCTAATTAATTTACATTTTATTCTAAAATTTTAAATTTTACATCTAATTAATTTAGACAATTTTTTACAGATTAATGACAATGAGCTTGAAAATATAATGACTTGGAAAATGTTAATATAATGAATAATGACATCATCGCATTATTCTGAAAAATGAAATAAAAAGACAACGAAAAAATGATGACTGTCAAGGATATAGTTCGGTTCTGTCGTAATAATTTCTCCCTAGATGCCGGAAATATTATTATTTTTGTTTTTTTAATCAATTTAAAATTATCAAATCCACATAAATATATTATTAATTACAATTCATAAATTTAGCGTGTATATATAAGGAGAAAGACAGGCGACGAGACCAAACGTGCTTGAACCTTCCTCAAAGGTTATCTCTAAGCTTCAAAGCTCAACCAAAAAAAAAAAAAAAGTTCAAGCCATGGTTGCATCTTTCTCTGTCCCCTCAATGGTAAGTACCCTCTTAATCTATTGTTATTGTGATTATTAATCGAATATCAGAGGATATAAATGGATAATTATGAGTAATATATATTGGTGTTAGATAATGGAAGAGGAAGGCAGGTATGAAGCCGAGGTGGCAGAGGTTCAGGCATGGTGGAACACGGAGAGGTTCAGGCTGACGAGGAGGCCGTACACGGCTCGGGACGTGGTGGCGCTGAGGGGGAACCTGAGGCAGGGCTACGGCTCGGACGAGATGGCTAAGAAGCTGTGGAGGACGCTGAGGAGCCACCAGGCCAATGGCACGGCCTCGAGGACTTTCGGAGCGTTGGACCCGGTCCAGGTGACCATGATGGCTAAGCACCTCGACTCCATCTACGTGTCCGGGTGGCAGTGCTCGTCCACTCACACGTCCACCAACGAGCCGGGCCCTGACCTCGCCGACTACCCTTACGACACCGTTCCCAACAAGGTCGAACACCTCTTCTTTGCTCAGCAGTATCATGACAGGTATATTTTCTCATTTCCTATTTCTTCTTCTTTTTTAAAAATAAATTGTTGAATATTATTTCCTTATTTATATTTATATTTTTTTGCTCCTTTTTGTTTGATTTGAGTTTTACATGCACACGTAGTATTTTGTCAACTTTTTTTTTTTTGCGAATCTTCTCGTATACACCTTTAATATTAAGCTATAATGCTATTACTATCTGTGATTAAAAAAAAAAAAACTAGACTTATTTTGGACCGACAAAAATTGTCTTAAAAAACACCTTTAGTATCAAGCTAGAATATAATTACTAATTAATGATCATTGGTAATCTTATTATTCAGTTATTAACTATAACGATGATTTCAACGTTAATATTATGTTATTATTCCCGTTGTTTGGTTTCATTGATCCTCACAAAATTAATTTATTCTGTCTGTTACACAAACCCACGAATCCAAGTATTATTATTTGATTAATCTCTTATAACAATTCACAAATACGATATATTCTATAATCATAGAACATACCTTGGAAAATCACGTGTGAAATATTCTCATTTTCTCTTGAAATAACGCAATCAGTAACGTATAATTACATATTTATTTTAATCTTTTTTGTTGTGTTTGAAAATCCAACCGACAGGAAACAAAGGGAGGCTAGGATGAGCATGAGCCGGGAAGAGAGGGCGAAGTCACCGTACGTTGACTACCTCAAGCCGATCATCGCCGACGGCGACACCGGCTTCGGCGGCACCCCCGC